ACAGATCTATCACATTTTCTCCCTGACCAATGTAGTAAGGACTATTTATGGTAGGAAGGGCCACGAAGGGTTTGCTGTATCTGTCAATACTGTATCCTTGGGGAAATCACAGAAATGAGTGCCCATCAAAGATATGAAGGATGTATGTAGTCATAGGGGAGGCGGGAGAGGGACTTCTATTACATCCTCATTTAACTTGCCTGTTTGGCTTGTGCAGAAGGTACATGGGTCTTGGGGAATGATAGTTGATTATCAAAATTTAATCATTAATCCCAAACAGGATTTTTAAAAAATCTACATAAATCATAAGAAACTGCAGGACATCGGAAAGACCAAGATCTTAAAAGCAGCCATAAAGGAGACATTACCTGCAGAGGAAGACAAGTAGAAGCTAGGAAATCTATTGCTTGATGCTTCTAGGATAGGAGAAAGATGTGGTTCTGATAATAGAAACGGAAGTTGCAGTATAATGTGAGATGAAGGATAAAACACCCTTCTACTGGTGATTTTAAGCCAAGGAATGTAGCTACCAGGATAATTTGCTTGCGTTGCTTTGAGGGATCTAGTGGTATAGGGATCCCAGTGTCACATGTATCAGTCTTACTTTAAATAGCCAAAGAAATGGATTTTGGCTGGAAAAGCAGAAAAAGACTTTATTGAACTGTTGAGCTCATGGATCCACTAAGAAGCTCCCCCCAAAAGGGAGAATAAAGTCTGGGCATCCAAAAGCACTTTAAGTCCTATGTCAGAACCAGAATGTTAATGTGAAGATGCCACCACTGCCACCAGAATGTATACCTCACTTTCCATCGTGCTCTGCTATATATTAAGAAATTCCAAGCAGAAGCATCTGATTAGCCAATCCTTGGTCACAGGGCCACAGGAGGTGGGGATTCTGGGAAAGCAAACATCTGGTCTTTTATATGGTGGGCAGAAAACATGAGTGGTTGTTGGGTGGGAGGAGAGTGTGACTATAAACGAATAGCATGAGGGAGTTTGGGGGGTGCTGGAACTGTTCTGTACTGTAATTGTGATGATGGTTACAGGAATATATACCTGTGTTAAAATTCATAGAAGTGTATAGCAAAAGGAAGTTCATTTATTGTGTGATAATTAAAAAAATAAAACGCAACCACGGCCTCATGACTAGTTGCAGAAATGAGGACTATAGTAGCTACCCATAGTCTCTCCCTTTCTCTTTAAGGTACATAATTACATATAGCAATGTTTATTTCCCTACTTTCCCTCTACTGTTTTATATAAGGCGAGTTTTATGGTAATTAACTTTTTTTTTTTTTTTTTTTTTAGTTCACGTTACAGGATATCAAGATGGGACTGAGATTGAATTAGGACAAGTAGGTATCACTCATCCATGGATCCAAGTGACCAAATAGAAACTTGGATCTTCCCTCAGGAGAGAGGATTAATGTATTTTTGTTTGTATGAGGATTTATGTCATGACAGGCAGCAGCTGGCCATTGATGCTATTAGCTCTTATGTATAAATATGGGAAGAAGGGTATGTTGCATGGTAAAAGAGGTGGATAACATAGATAGGTACTTGTAGTGGACAGACTCTATGGTGTACCCCCTATGGTCCCTGCTTCCTGATGTACATGTCACTGTGTAACCTTCCCTTGAGAGTGCGTAGGGCCTGTGACTTGCCTTTAACCAACAGAATTTGACAAAGGGGATGAGATGCCACCACTGTGAGATGTTACATTATATAAAATACCGTCTTGTTCTAGAGACACTCCTTACTAGATTGATGAAGTAAGTGGCCATTTTGGGGAAGTCCACATGGCCAGGAACTGTGGGCAGCCTGAAGAAATTGAGGGCAGCTGCTAGGAACTGAGTGAAGCCTCTAGGACCTGAGGACAGCCTCTGACTAACAGCAAGAAGTTGGCGCCTCCAGACCTATAACCATAAGGAAATAAATTTTGCCAAAAGCCTAAGTAAGCATGGAAGTCGATTCTTCCCCAGTTGAGCCTTTCCTTGAGAACCAGCCTGGCTGATTCCTTGGTTGCAGCCTTGTGAGAGCCTAAACACAGCACCCAGCTAAGCTGAGCCCAGAGTTCTAACCCACTGAAATGGTGAGATAATAAATGTGTGACATGGTAACTTGTTACACAGCAATAGAAAACAAATGCAGTGTTCAATGTCCATTCTAGCCTCTTAGTGTACCTTCCTGTACTGCAGAGGCTAAAAAGCTAAAAGGATATTTTCCAGATTCCCTTGCAACTAGGATTCTGGGTATATTATAGGTCAATCAGATGCATACTCTTGAGACTTGAATGGCAGAAGGGAGGTGAAGGCTATGCTTCTGCCATTTCTTCTGGTAAACATGGTTGTGAAGACGTTTGCTTGTTCTATTGCAATTTAGACACTAGAGTGTGGGTGGTGAGAGGTGGGATCCTTGGCATCTCTTCTGCTGGTATAAATCATAGCAGGTGGAGCATGGATCTGTAAGTAGCAGCTGTGGTGTTGGCTTTTCATCATGGTAGCAGGAAGCAGCAGTTTCCTAATCGCAGAAGAATTAGCAACTCCCTTGGTGGCCTGGTTCTGTGGTGTAGTTTTGGAAGTTGTTCTTGAAAGTTCAATTTAGAGTCAGTCCCCTTGATAATTCTGTAAGCCACTTCATGTCTGGTAATAAATCTTTTCTGCCTTAACTAATTAGAGTGAATTCTGTTCTCTGCAACCTAACCTTAACTAATAGAGAAGTCCTAAAGTGATAACTGAATTAAGTGTAAATAAAAATACATTGTAATAAATAACAGTAATATCTTTTAGTAAACAATTTTTCATGTTTACTGTAATAGATTTGTTTTATTTTTTTACAAGATTTTATTTATTTGACAGAGAGAGAGAGACAGCCAGAGAGGGAACATAAGCAGGGGGAGCGGGAGAGGGAGATGCAGTCTCCCCGCTGAGCAGAGAGCCCCATGAGGGGCTCGACCCCAGGACCTTGGGATCATGACCTGAGCCGAAGGCAGATGCTTAATGTCTGAGCCACCCAGGCGCCCCTGTAATATTTATTTTTATAAAGACAAGTAAAGCCACCTTATAACACATTTAATTTAATGTATAAGGTATAATGCAGTGGTTCAGTTCTACACAACTACATAAGATTTTTAATATTAAGAACAACTCATTTGCTTAACAAGGTAGCAACTATAAAACTATGTGTTCATCTTATTTCTCTTGCAGACTCAGAAAATAAATGTTTGCCTTTTAAACTTCCATTTATAATCATTTTGCAATTCAAAAATCTAAGTATTCAATTTTAATTAATATAGGTTAAACTTCAATATTCAGACTTTAAAATCATATCAAATATTAATAACATATGCTCTTAAGAAAGTATCTTTTTTTGTAAATATAATTGACAAAATATTCAACAGAGTATGTGCAATAGTGCCTTTGTATATAAGCACAGAACCCTGTGTCTTTCTAAACCTACTATAATTTAACAATCATTGCAAAATAGCAGATGTATGATAGTTTACATATAAACTATTAACTAAACTCTAAAATTTGGACACATTTCAGCAAATTATTTCTGAGAAAAGGCATAGATGCTTATTTACCAACTGTATCTTTAAGTGATAATTTCCTTGAAAAGAAAAAGTTGACCAAATCATTTTAAAGACAACACTATTAAGTGTTTGGCCAAGTCCAATTTATGAAATTTAAAGGATCAACTTAAAATCTTTGAATCTCTTTGAAAATAACATTCTGTGATGATGAAACCCTTTGTGTTAGGCCTTGTTCACAGTGGACTCTTGTCAAAGGTTGACTACACCAATTCCTTCCCAGAAAGGGCGTCATCTTGGGTTACTCTAAAGAATTTTTGCCCTTTTATTGTTTCATATTTGAAAAGTCAAAGGGCTTAAAACCAAAGCCTTTTGTGAAAAAAGCAGCTCCAATGGATGATCTCTCCCCACAATCTCCTAAGTCAATTGATTAATAAATTGCTCTTGTCTAAAATAGCACAGAAGATTGAATAGGTGTGGTTTGCTTGTTTGTTTGTTTTTCTTTAAAGTGCTAACAAAAGCCCATTACCTCTAAATGGGCTTTCATTGTAATGACTGAAATATAAGCAGCATAAAATATAGAAATCACACATCTAAATCAGATAGACGGTCAAAACTTTTTAGATAGACACCAGCAATTACCTTAACTATTATTACACACAAGTGTACTTTATGAACTTGCCAGACTAACACAGTAATTCAGTCTATCTAATGTAGCTTAAAACATGACTGGTGAAAATTCAAAATCTAAAGCTAGAACCAAAGCAGCCACAGACTACTCTGAGACAAATGCCACAAACAGCAGTGCTCAGAAGAATTCCAAGTAATTGCACAGTCTAATGAGACCTATATAGTTAACTGAATTGTTTCTTAACCCTTCTGAAGAGACTGGCTTTATCCAGCTTAAAATTAAATCCAATATTGTTTCTCCTTATATTAGCCCAGAATTTTGAGTTCTTGACTTGTTTTTATCAGTCACAGAGTTAGAAGTGTGTCAGCAGCTTCTGAACTGCTCTCAGGTAGGAAGAATGTAGAAGTTACTAAAAAACCATTTATTATTAGAAAACTGAATGATATTAACTTTAAAAAGTTAGTATTATTTCAGTTAGATAACTTGAAAATGAGGTCCCTGTATGGTAATCACTTAGATAATTAAGGCTATAGATCTAAGAGCCTGGATTTCTAAAGCATTCTAATAGCACTGAGGCAATTTAGAAAGTAGGGTTTATCGATGACATGTCAGTATCACTAATACTCAAACATAACATCACATTTTCAAAATCGTCAGTAATTCATATGTAAATAGCAGAACAAATTAGGCATTTTCTTACTAAAAGTGATATGGTAGTGCCCTCTGGTGGTAACATTTAGCATATTCCCCTGATATTGCATATCATGTGAACTATAAAAAGTTCATTTGTAATGAAGAATATCAAAATTAGAGATTACCACAGAGCAATGAATTATTGTGCTTCCACATATCTTTTTTTTTTAACCTTCAAGCACATTGGTATCAAGATAAATCCCTGATCCCTATTCCCAAGAATCAAACTGACAGCTATAGGAATCTTAGTAAACTTGTCTATAATAGGCAATTCCTGTTAAGAGATTTACATCTTGGTTCTACAGCTTAACTGAGAGGTTTTTGCACTTTCTAGTTTCACTTTTACATCTATGGGTTTCTCAAAAAACCTCACCAATGCTGGTTCATTCAACAAAGACGCAAGAATCTGTTCAAATGCAAATGACCACTGAGGTTCTTCCCTCAGAGAGGAGGGATCTTTCTTCAAGTGGCTCTCTGTTTTCCCCTCACTGGGTCCTCCAGAAGCACAGACTGTACCAGAGAATTCTTTGGCTGATGCTGTGGGGCTATGTAGTTTCCTTCCAACTTCTTCCATCCTGAGCAAAAGGCTGGTTACAACAGCAATGGCTTGATATAACGACTCTTCTTCAGGGTCCCCATGAAATAAGTTATATAGGGTCTTTGAAAACTGAATGAATTGTGACTGAAAGACATAAGTTAGAAATACCACATTTGATATTAGACTTAGCAAAAAGAAAGAGAACTTAGAAGTAAACAGTCTCCTATTTAGAATTTGTACCATTTAACCCTCACCATAGAAGTTAAAAACAAAACAAAACAAATAAATCTTGGTTCTAGAAAGATGGGTATAAACCATGGAAGAAAATGCCCTTTAAAATGCCTTTTACATCTTCTCATATGTTGGCTAATAGCAGTACATTACACACACACACACACACACACACACACATACATATACACACACACAATAATTCTTGGGCAGCTTACCTGCCATCATTCCCTCAATGTTAGGTGGTACTTTTTTTTTAAAAAATATTTTATTTATTCATTTATTTGAGAAAGAGCGAGAGTGAGAGAGCACAAAGCAGGGGGAGCCGCAGAGGGAGAAGGAGAAGCAGGCTCCCCACCGAGCAAGGAGCTGGATCTCAGGACTCTGGGATCATGACCCAAGCGGAAGGCAGATGCTTAACCAACTGAGCCACCCAGAAGACAGTAGGTGGTACTTTTGTTAAAAAAAATATATTTTATTTATTCGAGGGGGGAGGGGCACAGGGAGAGGAAGAGGGGAAGCAGGTTCCCTCCTGAGCCCAGAGCTTGATCTCAGGACCCTGAGATCATGACCTGAGCTGAAACCAGGAGTCAAACGCTTAACCACTGGCTGTGCCACCCAGGCACCCCGGTGGTACTTTCAATTAGGCAAATTCACCTATTTCCTTACATGTTAATCATTCATTCATTAATCAATATTAATGAAAGGCTTAATAAGGAGTTCCCCTTGATCACTCTAAAGGGCTACAGTGGGCAGCTCAACTAGGACGACTTAAATTTATGGAAGAATGTTTTGGGAACTATCTAGCAGTACAAGGTAGCTCCACAGGGCCCATTTAGACATGTTTCTCTTTAAAGGCTGAGGTGGGACCCAAGTGGAGAAATAAACTGGTGTGTTTGCTAATTGCCCCTAATAATCCATAGACATTCCTAAAAGACATCTGTCAATTAAAAAAAAATAATTTTAACACAACAAGTCAATCATCCTAACAGAAAAGTTTATCTGTAAATAAAAGCAAATACAAAGGATGTACTTAATCAAAATAAATAGTATCAAACTTTTAAGTTTTATTTCTCTACCTTAGTCTGTAGTACTGCTTATTTATAAAAAATTTTAGACTAAACATCATATTAATTCATTTTAAAAAGTACTTATTCAGCTACCAAATTACCCAGTCCACGAGGAACACCGCTATTTGATAGTTCTCATTTTGGTAAAGTTCTGGGAATCCTCAGTATCTAATCACCAACAGATTTTAATTTAAAAAACATAAGAACATAAACAGACCAAACAGTGTTTAAGAGATGGCTTTAGAATTGTGTCAAGTAGTAGTCATTAGTATTGTTCGAGCAGGTTCAAATACAAGATGATTAGAAACCAGCATGTGACCTATTTTAGTAACTTCTTATTCCTAGTACCTAACATTGGGTCTGTCATCTAGTAGGCACTAAAAAAAACGTTTACTGAATAAATGAACACTTTTAATAAAGCTGGAAATAGGAAACAATGAAATGTATGTTTATACATACATCTTTTCTATAGTCACAAATGTTGTCATAGCAGAGGAACTATTCTGAAACAATAAGTGCATTTAAGTGCTTAAAGTAGGAAATCATTTAAAAATTTGCTCCTACTCTTCTGTGCTCATCTGAAGCTTACAGAGATGATACATAGATTACTTAACTATTTTTGTAATAGTATATTAACTATTTTAGAGTTGGATACACCCACATTCATAAAAACAAACAAGAACCTAGAATTTTTTCTTTGAAAATACTATACCTGATTCATTCTTGGTAAATCCTTAATGTTTTCTTGTTTTTTGGAAAGCTCATCTTGCCATTGACTTAGATATGCTTGAATATCAACTTTCTCTTTGCCTGTATGAGTGGAATAAAACCATTTCATAATGAACAGTTCACTTTATTTCCCCAAATCTCAGAAGGAATAACTACAATTGGAAATTATTTAAAATACAAGATTCCACCTTTAAATAACCCAGAAAATTATCTGAATTTATCTTTTACTTCACCCACTGGTTTTCAGAATATGTTCTCTAGTTCCATTAAACTAAAACTTTTACTTTGGGAAGGCTGGGGATTAGGGAAGACGTGAAGAGAGAGGGAGAAGGACGCATTTTAGATTAAACAGTACACTCTGGCTTGACAATGTAAATTTCATGTAGATGTTCTCATGCATACTATTAAGTTTAAAATAGCTTCTATATGATGTTCTTAATATGCAGATTCTGAAGTGGTCTATGGTGGCTCTTCTTAAAAAAACTCAAAATACTACTATCCATTCATTCCTTTGAAGAGTTTAATGAAGATAATTAATGTGACTATTAATAATTACTTGAGACTTATTGGAAAACTATGTAGATACACTTAACAACCTAGGGAAGGTGTTGTATCCAAATGTACTGACATGAAAATGTCCATGATATATCACAAAATTGAAAAAGCAAATTGTAGAACAGTATTTATGGAATGTTTCTTTTTTTATAAAAGAGATGTCTATATGTGTTTGTGTATACATAGAAATGGGTCCGGAAAGGATATAGAAAAAAATGCTTTCACATTTACTTCAGGGTGGAGTTCAGTGGGGGTATGAAGACTTCTGTTTAAATTTCTTTTATTATCTACTAACTCTTGTAATTAAACATAATAATTTTCAAAATAGTAAAATGAATATGGGTCATGTACTCTAAGTTGTGAGACTTAAGTATCAAGACAAGAAAGACTAAATTGTTAAACTAACACACAAAAGTGAAAAGGCTCTCAGGACAAATCAATAGCCTTTAAAGGGAATCTACTATTTGCCTTTGTAGCTAACCCTATTCACAAAAACAGTAACTTAAGCTAAATGATATTCCTAATCATAGTACCTTTTTCAGGGCTGTTTTTTGGTGATTCTGCTTCCTTCATATTTGCAGGCTTAGAAACTAGAGGAAAACAATTGCATTTTGTAAAATATTTAACAAGTAAATACATTTTGAAAGTAAAATAATATTTTATATAAAGACTTAGGCACATGTTATTTTCTTCAATTCAGGAAACCAATTTTAGCTGACATGACCTCCTCTCATCAGAAGACAAAATTTCAAGAACTTTTATAGTAGAAAGAACACTGGGAAAAAATCTATATTAAACAATCCTAGAAGTATACCAAATATTATTTATTTCTTGGTGGTATTTTCTTCCTTGTGGCCTTCTTCAAACTAAACTGTGTTACTTTTATTATTAGGGGGGAAAAAAAGCATGCAGGAGATCAGAAGACTGAGCTACTAATCCTGATTGTGGCAATAACTCATTGTGAAATCTTACAGAAGTCACTTCTCCTTTTTGTGTCTCCGTGCCCTTATCTATATAAATTAAGGGATTTGACGAGATGATTTATAAGGTTTCTTCAAACTTAATGTTCAAACACCAACATATAGTAGCTATAAACATACATTAATCAGGACTTATCTCTCTATAAGACACTCATGTTTATGAAAAAGAGGCAAAGGATACAAAAATAAGCTCATAACACTTCCAAATTATGTCTTGGAGACAGATTCATCCCTGTCTCCTACACCTACAGTGATTTATAATAAGTATTCACTGTTGGAATAATAGCTATGACCTTCAATCATCAAAGATTCTACTATTTCCACTGTATTTTAACAAGGCATGAAAATGGTTGGATACATTTTAGAAATTTCTGCCATATAAGTAGAAACAAAATGCTTTTTCTTTCTAATCCTCCAGTAGACAAAAAATTCCATAAATCAAAACCCAAAACACATTTCAGTTAATTAGTCAAGTATTTATGGGGTACTTACCATGCATTTAGCACTGCGCTAAGTGTTATGGTAGCACAAAAGAAATATAAAGTATAATTAACTCAAATTTTATTAATGGTAGCTGGGTAAAAAATTATTTAAGCCAGGAAGATCTCTGACTAATCATCAAAAAAGATACATTTTAAACAGATATTTACCATGGAGCTGACTGAAATAAAGTAATTCTTCCTTGGAAAGTTCATCTCCTTTTGAAGGGTCCTTAGATTTCACTTCAGTATAAGCTGAAAACAGATAACCCAAATCAATTTACTAACAATAAGGGACAGAAACGGGTCAAGCAAATCTGGGGGCAGAGAGTTAAATAAAAGGTCACTATAAGAAAGACACATGTGAAGAAATGTAGAAGAGGTTCTACTCTATAGCAAATAACAAGAAGTACTTGATCACTCTGAGTTCTATTAGTTCTCTTACTTGCTTTTTAATAGTCTTCCGAGAGCCATTACAAGTTGAAATAAAAAAATCTGGCATTTTGAAATCTGTGAAAATGTAACCTCAGTCATTTAAGAACATCTTCAATAAGGCAAACATGAAGCTGAGTGCTGTAACAGATACACAGTGGTTTTTCTTTCCATTTTTGATCCCCTACCGAAAGCATATTCATTCCACAGCAACATTAAACATTCTAACAGTAATTTGACTTGACAATGTAAAGTCCTCCATAATTAAATTATTAGGTGGTTTATCTTTGGTTTTTAATGCTCTGTTTGTAATCTCAGTGTGTGAAGAGTCAAAGATAGCTTTTAGAGTTTTGGTCTGGTAAAGAATGGTTCCTGGTGGGCGCCTGGGTGGCTCAGTTGGTTAAGCGACTGCCTTCGGCTCAGGTCATGATCCTGGAGTCCCGGGATCGAGTCCCATATCGGGCTCCCTACTCAGCGGGGAGTCTGCTTCTCCCTCTGACCCTCCCCCCTCTCATGTTCTCTCTCTCTCTCTCTCAAATAGATAAATAAACAAATCTTAAAAAAAAGAGTCCAGAAGTTTAGTCCCCATGCTTTCCTTTCAATGTCATAGAAAAAATGGTGTTTCAGTTCCTATTCTGTGGACTTTGTGAGCACTGCATTATAGCCAGTGTATGCAGTAAATGTACAAATTGAGTCAAACTGGGAGAAATCAAGATTACCTGAATGAGATGCTGACCTGTCCTCATAGGCACAGGCATGAGTTGGGTCTTGAGAAAATGCATGTAGACAACGTTTCATACTGACGCCGAGTGGGCCTTCGTGTAGTCTTGGGTATAAGACAAAACTGAAGAAATGGAAATGGCTAGTCAGAGCTCCAAATCCTGTCAGATAGTATATGCTGAGTAAAATGGTGGATGCTGTCTTTTTTAAGTGCATGACTGTTAATTTATGAGCACTAGGCTTCAGGCCGTTTAAATCTTAGCAAGAAGAATTTCCTTACCAGTTTTCCTTCTCCTTCCTCCCTCCATCCCTTCCATTTTTCCTTTTCTGAGTGACAGTATTCTTTTTTCCTGGTTTATTGAAACATTATTAACACAAAATATGTTAAATGGAAGGTATATAACATGATGACCCAATACATGTATATATTCTGAAATTATTACCACAGTAAAATTAGTTAACATCTGCATTCCCTCACATAATTACCACTTTGTGTGCGTGTGTGTGTGTACGGTGAAAACATTTAACTATCTACTCTCTCTCTTTTTTTTTAAAGATTTTATTTATTTATCTGACAGAGAGAAAGATAGCAAGAGCAGGAACACAAGCAGGGGGAGTGGGAGAGGGAGAAGCAGGCTTCCAGCTGAGCAGGGAGCCCGATGCGGGGCT